CTTTACGATTTATTTATAAAAATAACAATTTAAGGGGAATTATATGGACCTTCAAATAAAAAAAATCACACATATGCGTGTATATTATGTAAACTTCCTAAAATTATATTTTCTTAAAGTCGTTTAAAGGATAAACACTGCAAAACTAGTAAAATCGGTTTGAATGAGATAAATTCAGCAAAATCATAAAAATTTAACTTTGTTATTTATGCAAACACTGAAAGATATAGTAATTAAGTCCGTAGTAGCATAGTGTAGTATGGTTTAACAATCATTATTTGTTTTATCCATTTAAATAGGTATTAATGTAAAAAAGCTTATTGTTTTCATACACTCATTCAAACACACACACATACACTCACCCCCCCCCCACACACGCACACCCATTCACCCCTACACACACCCGTTCACCCCCACACACATCTATAATTTTTATCTGTTTAATTTAAATTATTATCATTTCTTAGCCTTATTAAATAATGGTTAAGATTATTAACTCGTGTACTTTTGTTTTTACTACTAGCGTCTTTTGTTCGGTTTGGGATTTGCTCGATTTTTATTGTTAAAATAAATAATTATTATTTAAACTTTATTTTATTTGCTTGCATATAGAGATGGGCCGTAGGAGAACACCCGGGTTATCGCTCATCTCAGCTTATATAGTACCTACTTCGGTCAACCTACAAAATCGATGGACCTGAGTATAGTCGGGAAAATCGTCAAACGTTAAGCATTTAATGATATGGCGGATGATATATGGCTAAATCAAAAAATGGCGGCATATTTTGATGTGCTCGGGCAGATCTCGATCAGCCCAATTCAACGATTGGCCTACGACATACACAACAACAGACCCAGACTTATTATATATTAAAGTAGAAGACAATATATTTTTTATTTATTATTTATATTAAGGGAAAAAATCATAAATTTCTTTAAACGATCAAAGTCAAAGGAAAAATGAAATGTCGAATTAAAATTTAAACGGAAAGGAATTTCTCGCATGTTCCGTCTCACGAATAAACGAGGTTTAGGAAGCGAGGAACCTTGAAAAGGTTCTTTGTTATTCATCAACCGAACAATTTCCATGATACATTCTTACATGAAATAAATTTTTATTTTTAGAAATATTGAGCGACGAACTCTAAACTTTAATATGGTTTCTATTTTTTATTTTATTTTAAGCGCATTTATACAAAAAGATTTTTATGGTTAGTTATTTTATCGTAACCTTTTATTTGATACACATATTACGATAATACTTATGAGTGAAAGCCGAGAAACTGTTTTCTCTTTCTCTTTCTCTTTCAGGGTTCCACACCTCAATAAGACTAAACAAAGGACTCCGTTTCGTTCCAGAAGGATCACAATAGTTTTTCTGATAAACTTGATATTAGTGGCGTAACTGCAGGGTGGCAGGTGGACAAAATGCCACGGGCCCCCAGCTGGAAGGGGTCCCCGGTCAGAGGAGACTCCTTACTCCTGACATTTGTTATTACGCAATTGAATACCCGATGAATTAGCCACGGGCCTCAAACGGTATAGTTACGCCACTGCATGATATCACCAGATATGATGCTTCAGACATTAAATGAAAATTTGAAATGTACGACATTGTAACAGCTCCCCCCCCCCCTTCAGAACGTGTTTTGGCTCTTAACAGAAGTAGCGTTATTTACAAACACTCGTATAAATCATTAGCTTATTAATGACATCAACGTTGAAGCTCCGGGTTTGGCTATGACCCACCAAATAAAACAGGTTCAATGCGGATTGGATAGCCAGGACGATTGATTTAATGTGCTTTCCGCTGCATGGAGGTGTTCAAGATAGTACATTTTTTGCCACCCATCTTATTTCCAGTCCTTGCGTGCTTATCTTCGCAGATCGAATGCGCTAACCACTGCGCCTTTAAGTACCTTTTTAATATATAAAATATATTAAACTAAAGTTTTTTTCTCATCAAATTAGAAAGGTCAGTCTCCATACTAAGCCACTTAATATATTAATAGAACATTTCTAAAAAAAGGCTTGGAAATTATTTCAGAATGTGATGTTACACGCTTTTACAGTGATGCTAAACTCGAACAGTGTGCGTAGACTAAGTATGTCTGTGTGTGTCAAGCATTATTTATTTATAAGTATTTTATTTAGAACAAAGAAGAAAGAAGGATGGCGAAATCGGACCCATAATTTACAAAACCGTACATGGATGGCAATATGACAAATAAATAATATATGATTAATAGATTTTATTTCTACAAAATGGTGAATTTTAATGTCGGGGAACCAAACTAAAATGTTAAATGCTGCTAATAATTATCAAGATAACAAAACGTCTGATGATAGTGCAAAAACAAAACGCGAAAATCTTCTTAAGAAACGTTCTGGTCTACGCAGAAGTATACTTCTGCGTAGACCAGAACGTTTCTTAAGAAGATTTTCGCGTAATAATAAAACTATATCTAATAATAAAACGGGCAGTAAAAGGGTCATCTATTTTAATGGATATTATCGTTTCCTGTACATTGCAATTAATTCTAGCCTTTAAAGTACCATAAATACGCTTAATAATCGAATATAAAGTCAAAATAAGATTGTATAGAATAGATTCCGTTCTCTTTAATTGAAAACCACACAATATATAAAGGGTTGTAGTTTGGATAGTTTTTGAAAAATCGATCACATACATCAACGATGTCAGAAGCGATTTTCAATTAATCGCGAGTTTTTCAAACATGTTATATAGAATAATATCTGTCGCCATTTACTGCTAATAATAAGTGAGAAATGAGATGTAATGACGTGTACCGACTGAGCGAATGAACGTTAAATATATATTCAATATAAAATCTATATACCTATAATATATTAAATGAAATACGGTCTTTGAATACATTCATAAATATTTATTTATTCGTTCAAATTACGTATTGAATACTTGAGAAATAAAAAAATTGAAAGCTAAGATACCTCAACCGATTAAGAAGATTATTGCCAGTTTTGTAGTTGATCCGATAAAAGGTTAACGTATCGATTATTTTGTTCTAAATAATCGATTGGTTGAATTTATTTTGACATGCTTGTTTTCATCTATGAATGTTCTATGATGATGATGGTGGAATGATAGCGGATGATTGGTTTGGTTTGTTTTTTGTATGTTCGTTCGTAGAGTTTGATATTTATGTTAATATTCAACTTGACAATTATAATAATAATAATTATTTATTTATTCTCCTCACAAAAACTTACATTGCATTGGGTACATACAAAAATAATCTTAATATTAATGCTGTGAGGAGCTGGTGTTTGAAATGGAATAACCCTTTATTGCAAATCACCAGGTCCCCACCAATTTAGAATGTTTCTTCGACTAACGTTGATATTTGCGCTTTTGGATTCCGAATGGCAATTGATTCGGTTATAACAATGACATAATGTGTACATTGCCTTTGTTTGTCACTTTCAGTTGTAATGATTTAATTAAAGGCAAAGGGATCTACTCCACACAGTTTAGTCATATGTTATAAATGTTTCTTTTATTATAAGTGTCTGGATATTGTTAGATATGTAATTATTTTAATCTAGTTTATTAAACGGAGTAACTGGTTACCATTTTTATTCATTTCAACGTCCATTCAACGAAAAAGCAAAGATGCAATGTATAACCCCACAAGGTATTTTATGCCATATCTTTTTAATCCCAACTTTTAAAGGAAAAAGACGATTAGGATTTTGTTAGTTTAGCTTATACCTTCAAGTACACGTTTATTTTATTCATGAACGAGACTTTAAAAATTCAGGTCCAAAGCTATATGGGAGTTCGCCATTGTTCTTTCAGATTCGGTTTTCCGTCGAATTAAACATGTATTATACTGTACTAACTTTTCTATATTGTCTCAAGTCTTGGTATTGGTACCTTTGTTGTTTTAGATTTCCATAACACTAACTAGGTACGGCATGAGATACTGAGTTTGGGAAGTATCTATTGTTTACCTTGTAATTTCGTTTTGTTTTCCTGTCTGTATGTGTGCAATAAAGATTATATTATTATTATTATTTCTATGATCCAATTTTAACAATTTTTGTGCTGCTTCGACCCATAAAATGATTTAAATTTGAAAGTAACCGATGTTTTATTTCAAAGTACGCTTACTTGTTACCAGGTAAAATGTCGTGTCACGCGATCGTAAATGGCCAGTTTTGTTGTTATATCTTGACGTCACCTTTATGTTATAACCTCATTCAAAAAAGTCCCATAAATGTAACCTAATAACCCCATAAATGGCCTTTTCGGACATTATTAGCTATTGTACTATTTATTAAAAAACATGTTAAGTATTAATCAATTCCCAAATGAAATAAGCATTATAATTAAACAATATTATAAAAAATAAGTTAACTTATACTCTTGAATGATTCATGAACCTTATTTTCGTCCATATATCGCGAACTTCATCATGCTCTGTTCCACTCAATAACGTAATGCAAAACATATATTAGAGCAGGAAAGAAGACGAAATAGTTTATAACTCCAGGCATCAGTCGGTGGGATAGTTATTAGTTAAACTGTACCAGTGACCAAAGAGATCAAATCAGTGTCTCCAATCTCTACGCTCTTCTATCTATCCTATCTTCATAAAAATTTTATGGGAACGATACACTTTTAACTAAAAAAGGATTCATTATTATACTTTTACATCCGCGTGCGAGCTATTTGGCAACGGTCAAACATTGCCAAATGGCTCCCTCTCGCCGGACGCTGGTTTTAAAGTGTAGAAAATTAATATTGAAAATATTGTCTCGGGTCTGGGTGTTGTGGTACTTACTTAATTTGGAATATGAGCAATGTATATGATATTGTCTTATATATATTTATATGTTTTCTAATGACGAAGATATCGTGGGAAATACAAAAAATATAGAGACGAATCGAGGACCATCTTGAAGTGGGTTCAAATAAATTGATATATCCTTTAGACTTTTGTGTCTACTTTCAGCTGATCTGCGAGCTGGCTCTTCTCCTGTCAGCGTCTGGAATCGGAGTTTACTACCGAGCTTTAACTGAGAGAGCTCACAGGAACACCTTCGCTGGCACCAGGACTTGTCTGGAACAACGAGTGAAGCTGGAGTGTGAGAGAGAGGCGCAAGAGAGATTGCTGCTCTCTGTCATACCAGCTTACATTGCTGCTGAGGTAAGTTGTACAAATTAATATTTTCACTTCTCCTGTGTAAAAAGTCTGCCATTATAGAGTACTTAACTCTTTTTTTTTCTGTTCTCGCTTTAGTACCACAGACTTAAGCGAAATTTAAATAAAATTTTCTACATTTTTTATTATTTTTCTTGGTATAAACTATAATGTAGACTTCTTGGTCTACATTATAGTTTTTATTCATAATTAAAGTACTTATGAGTAGACTTAAATACCGTCTCTGTTAGTTTGATAGTACACGTCAAATCTCGCAAGCACACGTCAAATCTCGCAAATTTGACCCACTTCCCGGTTTTCGGTTGAGCTGAAATTGTGAATTAACAGTTAACTCGGATGATATCAAATCAAAACAAAATTATTTATTTAGTCTGACTATATTGTTATACGCATTTGTGACAGTCAGAAATCTATTATATACCTATCATAATTTTGAATCTATGTAAATAAATAACTAATCTTATCGAGACTGATTTTTCTTGAAATGAATTTGGTCCGAGAAAATATCCCTCCAGTTCCGTTTCAGTGGCTATAGGCACTTTGTGATTTATTAACGTAAGCCTTCGAGTTTCAGCTCATTTGATATGTCCAAACAAGGTCTCTGGTTCAAAGCTTGTTTTTAAAAAGAAAATTTTAGTTTCGAATTAGGTATTTTTAATAATAAATTGTTTTGTTATTTTTGTCATACGAATATTTGTTCTTTGATTAAAAACACGCGTTAAAACATTACACTAAAATAGTAAAAACATAATAAGCCAATGGAGGAACAATCTAGTGTTATCGTTTGTGTCGAATTCTTCCATACGACCTTTGGATGGAGATAGAATATTAGAATAGAGAGAGATAACACATATTAGTTATTTTTTATGATGTGACGTTGTGATATACGAGAAATATCGTCGTCTATACTTAAAAATATTATACAGTGGCGTATTTTCTACTAGGTGATCAATTTGTGAATTGCGTATAGAAATTTTCGTGCTGAAGTGTCGCATTTGATGTAATTATGAATGTAATTATCGCGAAAGTTCAAGAATAAAGTGTGATAACTTTGAGTTAGTTTCCATTGTCGATGAGCTAAAAGATAAGTTATCTAATTTTTTGTCATACACAAACAAGCTATAGTATTAGCTAACGTGTACACGTGTACAACAGAACGATACTATTTCGTCTTGGTAGGGATTACGTTTTACGGTAAGAAACACAGAAAAGATTGTTGTACTTTATCTGTCTCCCTCGGCCCACGCTTGTACAGTAAATGTTTATGGGATATTTTTTTTTTTTATATAAAAAGGAGGGCAAATGACTGCGCTCCACCTGATGGTAAGCGGAGGCGTAGTCCAAACGCGAGGACAGCTAGTGAAAACAGTACGTAGGTATTGCACTAGCCAACCTCACCTTGCCGACCTGCAAGGTGCTTCTTCACGCCCCGCTAGGAGAAATAGAAATAAAGCAACTGGAGAAATTATTTAAGTTAAATAAAATTTAATAATAGTTCATATTATGAAATATGTTTGTATACATTAAGATAAAGTCTTTAAGAGTTAATAAGGTGCCTGACTACCTAGGTACCCGTGAAATGAAGTTCCAAATAGTATTATTAATACAAAGAACCCTCAATATCAAAGGCTCCCCAATTTATAATAAGGTTAGGTAAATGTTATTCAGCCATCCGAGATGATAGCTTTGACTTGATATTAAATACTATTTCACTTGAATACTCAAATTCATTTGTGAAATAGAAAACCGTGCCGTATCTTACAAAGGGTACGCTATCAAGGCTTCGTGCTTGGCATCGTAAGATTTCTCCATTGCTTCGTCCTACTGGCCACAATATCCATTCTGTCGTCTTAACTGAGCACCGCTACGCGATACAATGCGATGTTAATTCTTTATCGACACATGTGACATGAGCTTTATTAAAGAGACCTCGCAAGATCTTGTTAGATAAATTTGCCTTTCTACCTTATGGCTTGAGGAATTCGATAGAGCAGTGGTTACCTTGTTCGGTCTACGCAAGTCTTTCACTTTGGGTTTCCAATGAGTAGGTCAACCGATTTTCGTAAAGACCCCTTATGATATTCTTCTTCTCAGCCAGTAACACTCATGACGGAGAAGTTGTAGTCAACATGCAGTATCTGTCACAGTGACCGATGTAGCTCGCCTCACGTTATGTCGCTCTTTTTCCCTATCAATCGTAATCGTAGAGGCGTACCCACCAAGGACTTTATTATATTGCCGGTTTTTGTCTGCTCTAATGTAGATACAATTACTATATTTAAAGCCGATTTCTTAGTTTTCGCGATATTTATTTCAATAACACAAAAGGTCACTTTAGATGTTACAATGTAAACAACAGTACTTTCAAAGTTCTATTGAAACAAAAAGGCTTACCTGGATTTTAATGAAACAAGATTTTACGAAATAAGCCCAGTTTATACAAACCTATTTAAATTTCTAGAACCATAGCGTTATCTACGTTGATGTATCTGACGAAAACTGGGCCTAAAATTTTCAAGATCGGGTCAGTGTTTCTGAAAATCATCCGCACAAAAAACAAATTAAGAAATTTTACCTTTTTTAATATTATTATAGATTACTTATATATGGAGATTATCCTGTGCCAGGCCTTCGTGACGTGGATGTCTTATAAATATTGAATAACTTTTACTATGGGAGCAACACTAAATTCACGAAATAATAGGGATGATGACTGGGTAAAAAAAAAATGCAATTCTATTTAGTCCGTCAGTCAGATAATAGATAAATTAGATACGTATACGTATTAGATACGTATTCTTTTTACTTCAATTTAACAAGAAATAGCTTAGATAACAGGCATTAAAGTTGAGGAGTGGGGGCTCGCTACGTCACAGTTGAGTAGAAAACGTACTCTAACGTGACGTCATGCGAAATTTCAACTCAGAGTAACGCCATAATTTAATGATTACGAAAAAAAAAAATACGTGTTTAATATTTTTTAACACTCTACCTGACGGACAAACAAACAAAAATTAGTCATCATCCCTATTATCAGCTGTTTTGGTACTGTTGGCGATTGTAGGTTACATTTTTTCATGGATCAGCTGATTATTATTTTATTAATTCAACATTACTTTCATAGTAAAAGTTGGTCAGTATGTTTAACTCATCAAACCCAAGAAGTCTTGGCACATCATAATATTACACCTTATATTTATGGATTGCTTCTGTTTCTAATGTAAGTTGGCTATGTATTTGTAGATTACTTTTAAGTATCCATGTAGGTAAACTATTTAGTATGTAAGACATTCGCTTCCTGAGAGCTCTATCCCAGATAATTGTTAACTCTGGGATTACTTATTAAGTGTAATTGCTCTAGTACTCGTATTACGGGTATATGCCTGACTGAGTGAGGTCTTTAATTAATAGAAGCAAAATTTATGAAAGCAAGTATATAAAAATTTAATCTCTTGTACAATTTGTATTTTTTTATTCACCGGGACATTTAAGTACGTTTTTATGGTCTAAAGTAATGTCATGAAACTTACAATCTATGTCTTCACGGCAGATCCCTTGTACCTTAAGCAATTAGTACTTAGTATTATTAGTAGTAAAAGCACGATCTTTAGAATTGTATTTCGCTTTTATGATATTAATAACTCTTTTTATACGTGCTCGCCAGTTTTTATGGCTTCTGATCTGATATCTGATAGTACCTTAGAACAATACTCGGTCGAGAGTTGCTAGTGAGGTTTCAGATCTTTGAAGAAAAAGATGCTAAGTCCACCGTATTCGTCTGTGTGTTACAAACATACATATAGTCCACTATTCCGAACACATCACCATCACCAGCCCTTTTACGTCCCCACTGCAGGGGCTCAGGCCTTCCTTATGGATGGTTAAGGAGGATGGGCCATGACCTTCCACGCTGGCCCAATGCGGATTGGAGGGTATTAACGACTGCAAATGCAGCCGGGACCAACGGCTTAACGTGCCTTCCGAAGCACGGAGTAGCTCGCGATAATAATTTTTTGGTCACCCATCCCGTGACCGACCCTTGCGAAAGTTGCTTAACGACTACGATCGCGGGCCGCGGCGCTTATCCACTGCGCCACCGAGCTACAATCAAAATAAATTACGATTCTAGAAATTCGGTGCCATATCATATCCAATATAATACCTATGTCTAGTTATAGCAGAGTATTAAGCCAAAGTGATAGGAAGTTATTATTGCGGAACTTTTTGTATTACGCTCAGGGGTGCCATAAATGAAAACTGTTATGGTCTTCGTGATCAAACTTCATCAGTTATTTCTGCTCAAAATAAAATATTAAAGGAAAAGGTCGGATGTTAAACAAAAGACGAATCAATGGTGACAAATTGGTTACAAAATCTAGCGATGTTTCATCTAGGTACTCGTTATTAGATGGCATTATGTGTTATTTGAATAGCGCTATCACTGTTGAAAGTACGTGTGCGAGAAAGGGACAGTCACTAGGGAAGCAACGGATGGGTAGCTTTCTAGAACTGATTGGTAATGCCTCGAATGATCTAGCTCCTAACCTGGAACGTTCTAGATGTATTATCGGCCCCTTTAAATACGCGGTAGACTAAACGTCCCGGTATTCTTTCGGTGACAAGTGAACTGCCCTGCGATTCTGTAAAAGGCCAAAACCCGAATTTGAATTCACTTCAAAAAGTGGTATCCGCTCAACCTTGAATAGTTAATAACGTTTTGTAGCATAACTGAAGTGAGTTTTGCGATGACATAGGAATAGAATATCTGAGACGTATATTCAACCAATTTTGTTTTGTATTTTTGTACAAAAAATGGAATCACACAATTTCTGCACTAAATGACGTGAATTCGGGTACATGAGTGACTTCGAATTCGAGTCTGGATTTTTACAGAATAATAGGGCTGTAAACGAGAGCGAGTACACGAGAGAGTCGGGTCTAAAACTAATGAAGTGAAGTATCGGGCCGATCAAGTAGTGTTGTGAATTAACAGTTATTTTGTAATTTTAATTTGTTAAATAAAGAGTTACATAGTGAATTAAATTAGCGTTTTTTTTTTTTTATTCCGAATCCCAAGTCGTAACAGTATTATTAAAAATCTATCGACAGCGCTTCGACTTAAGATAATATACACATTTAGCTCAAATTTTCGCCAAACAATATTGAATTTATAACATAAGATATAATTAATAAACATTTATTCGGTTCACTATGTGTCCAAATATTAAGTTTCAAATATTCAACTTAATAAATAATAAAAAAAATTGCATACTAATTTTCTGAATGACTTCGATATAAGTTTGAAAATAAAGAAACAAATATATTTAAAGCTTTAATTTCTTCAAACTCGCTTATCTTAGTGGGATTTTTCTACTAACTTATCATTCGCACTATGTGAAAAATATTAATTTTAAAAATAAAAATACGACTTCTAAGAAAATACTAACATATAATTCATTCTTATACATCTTAAGGCTACTTTACAATTAAAATTAAGTCTGTATCAGTCACGTTTGGCTACATATTTGAGCCAATATTCTCGACAACATTGTTGCATGCAAAGATCTAAATGCTACTATAGTTAGGTCATTGCAAGCAACCCTATTAAAACGTTTACTATTCGATGTATCGTTTCTAAGATCACAATTTTTATTTTTATCTATAACATAACAATGTTACGATTCAACGAAATCTTTTTTAGATACGTCCGCTTCTGATTTACTTATGTTCACGTGAATTGTTATAGCTTCATCGTTTTCTGATTTCATGATAACATCATTCCATTGTACTTCAGCTTTTTTGCCGTAAGCTTCATTCTCTATAAGAATAGCTGATTTAGTACATAAAGCTTTGCTTTGAAACTCTATTAGAGCACAGTATTCGCTTTTCTTCGACTCTGTTTTACTATCTGCTATATAACCGAGCTTTCTTCTCATCACTTCTACTCTTACGTGGTAATTGTAGATGCATACTTTGATTATGAACGCACTCTTTTGATGGAGTAAGATGATTTTATATTTAGTTCTACAGCACGCGGTCTTCTTGAGTTTGGTCTGGAAGTTTTCGATTAGTATCTTGATCTTCTGTGAATACACCGCGATAATGTTGTGCGATGTCTGCAGATGGTTCGATAGTTCTTCGAATGGCACTGTACAGCAGTTGGCTGTTACTGGACACGACATCGTGTCGAACTTGCAGTCCTCTTCGTGTTTGACCCTGGTAGATGCTGTGAGCAGATCTGTGCAGCCACGTCTATTGACAAAAGAAAATACTTTGTATGAAAAACTGGGAAATGATTCAGAAATAGGAGAGTTCCAATGAGATTAATAAATTGACCTTACCAAGTTACATTAAACTAATTTAATTGCTTTTGATTAAAAAAAAAACACCTATTTTTTCTAATAAGTGATAATGTCAACCCAATAGAATTTAACCCGCTTACAGCCAGTTGCACAAACGTCCATTAAAAGTTTATTTGTTTAAAGTGACATTACCCATACAAATTTGACATTCATTAGAACTTAAAGGCGTTATTAAACATTAATTGACGTTTGTGCAACTGACCGTTTGTCAGTAAAATTAATAAGTACTATACGGTAATTATTATAACATATAGTATAACACTAATAAGTGTAACACTTAAGTTCAGCCAAGAAACAAGAAATCTTTTATTCTTGGATTATCAATGACAATGAAATCCTATTATCATACTAATAGTTTGTACATTTAAGTAAAGACATTTTTCACATGGCATTTTTTTAAATAGTTTCAGTAGTTTTGAAGCTTATTCCTGTGTTTCTTCTTTATGATTTTGAAGCTTGTATTTCTCCTGTATTTTTTCTTTATAATATTAGTTTTGATTAATTAATCTAGGCCGGTAAATAGATGCATCAACTTTAAAATAATGAAATTCATATACATAAATGCATTTATAGATAGAAGCTAGTCAGTAAATAAGCAACATTAAAACCGGATTACAATTATGACAAGTTAAACTCGATGCAAAGAGCAGTCATAACAATTATTGAATACATCGCTATATAACGCAGCATTTAACAATTCTTGTTGATTAATTGAATTTCTAATTAGATATGAACAGATGTAGCGAACCTGCGAAACCCGTTATGTCGATCGCAGTCTTTGTTCGTTTAACTTTATTGAATTAACGAGAATTTTATAACTTGAACTGCGCAGATGGATATTATTTTTAAAAAGATAATTGTTTTATATAGCAATGAAACTTTAATAAAAAGTAAACGATTTCCTATAAATTTGGGGTTTTATTATTTTTTCGTCATTATCACTTTATACAATAATATAAAATAATATCTTTGTGTCTGTTGATTTATTTAAATCCGTAATAAACTGAAAAATAACGGAATATTTTTTTTGCAGTGTTTACTATTTAGAAGCAGTTAGTTTTTGAAAAAGATTTATATTTTACATTATAATCGAATTTTTACTTTAATCGACCCATATATGAGATCACGTAATGTTTTTTAGAAACGAGCGGATAACTAGTAATTGACTGAACACAAATTTGTATTAAACTATTTTTTTTAAGTAGATACTTTGTATGTTTAAAATGACACTTAATTTAGAGTTTTAGTATCTTCAATATGTTATATGAAATTTTTACAGCTCCGAATCAAGTTTATGTGTTATGTTTAAAGTTTATTTTCAAATGCGTAATATCAATCTGTAACAAGGTCAAATATAATCTAAAGATAATGGCACACGATAATAATATTTTATTTTAATATTAATGTGATTTTTAATCTTTAATCGTAGCAATGATATTGAAAATAACCTTGACCTAATTCAAAAATATTAAATTGCAAACAAAAAGAAAATCAAAACATTGCATAATATGAGATAGGGTTCCGTAGTTATTTGTTATATATTTACTTGTTATAGTCCTCAATTTGACTGTATGTTCTTATGTGTGTTTTTTACGCGATTATTCCGACATTTATGAATCGATCTTCAAAATTTGTTTATGCGACAGCTTAATGGGCCCGAGGTGGTTCCATTTAAAGTTTATCTAAATTTAATCATTAGTTTTCTTTTTACAACAAAACAAAATATGCTTTTCATGCGATATCACCTAAATATCTTTATGTCATATTTATATCAGCGTAAAAACAAAAGATTTCTATGCTCGAGTATTGTGAATAATATCCTTTTTGTACATAGATTACTACTTATACATAGATAATTATATAAATATACTCTTTGTAGAGTTTGTATTTTGGTTTGCATATAGTTTTGAACTCACATGAAGTAATAATTTATATATGGGTTTGAAGGTCTAATTATCTATGGTGTCTTGCACACGATCCTCGTATTACTGCAGCTTTCTATATATTAAAATATTATATATTTTTTTAGTATTTTATTTAATAATTTATATTTTTTTAGGCAAGTAGGTATGTTTACCTTTTACTTTATGGTTACTTCATGCTAATAAATAAAAATTCCAGACGTTTCGTTTTAAATATAATTTCTTTTTTATAGATATTTGGTATTTTAGTAAAAAATATTTATATAAAGTTAAATTTCTCAAGAAATATTAAGTCAGTGGTTTCAAAAAATGTAACTGCTTTTAAGATAAGTATTATTTTTCACTTTTACCAAATAAATAATATTTAGTTAATGGATCTATAGATCAAGATATGCTCTCCTCAAAATAATCTTTTCTCAATATTTTGTTACTACAGCGGCGTGAAATTAAATTTTTCATCGTCGCCTTACTTAGTGATTGGCTCATTGGAAGTAACAAATTTCTAGCCAGCCAGTATTAGATATTTTTAAATAGTGTTTACAGTATCAAAAATCCTATTAAAAGATGAATGTTTTATTTTTAAATTAGAATCGTTTTTTGAATCGTGTTTTTTAAGACGTAATTTTATATTTAAATTAAGCCACCGAAAGATAAACCAAGACATAAGCGAACAAAATTACACTCGGTATATCTAAAGACTACATGAAAATCTGTTGAGTAGTGTTTAAGCTAATCGTATACAAACAAACGTAATACTTATTTTTTTATCTTATTTATCGACTGTTAAGAACATTAATTTTTGTAGATGTAAATTATAATAGAGATAATAAAAGAGGTTTGCTTTATAATAATCTTTGTTGGATAAAATCCTTTGTCCATTGTCTTATTGTTACAGTTTCGTGTTAGAGTTTACATCAATTCTGTTGCAATATTATGACGTAGATAATAACTGAGCATCAGGTTTCCTTGTCTGATATTTAACATTCATAGGGGGTTTATTCAATTACGATTTGTACGTGTACATACTATGAAAAACAATGAAGTTCATAATAATGATATTCATGAGGCGTTAAAGTCAGCTGATTATTCCCTTATTGTGAGTACTAACTAAGCTGATATTACGTGAAAATGAATTTAAATGACAGTTATTGAGCTAGTAAACTTGTCTCAATTAAACGTACGTTCATTTTGATTCTGTACAATACGTAACACGGAGGCGCTTATAAAATTTAGATTTTAAGAAATTTGAGAACATCAGCAGACTACGTCTTTGTCTGAGAGTCTGAACTAGGAATTGAGATCCATTTAAAGAATCAAACCTCGTTTGATTTATCTTTTTTTTTATTTTTATCAATTGGGTTTGATACGTGGTAAACCTACTGGAACAACAGCTGAGAGTTTTAGTGTCATTGGGTTGCCAAATTATTAGGGACAGTCACATTTTTTTCAATTTGTTATTTTAAGTGCACTTGAATGCTGCTTGAAGAGTGCAAGTTATGTGGGAATGTATTTTTTTACGATTGGCATATTTCTATGTTTCAAATTAGAAGTGTTTGTTGGGTGATAAGTGGTATAATTGGTTATTTTTAAAAATATTGATGACTGGAGGGACGCAGAGCGCTATAGACGCGAAACAGTGAAAGACGTATTCGAATATATTGAACCAAGTTATTTAAATATTTGTTGTGAAAAATATTAAAAATGTGAGTATTATGAATTGTTTGTTATTTTTATTAATAAATAACATTTTTTTTGGTGAAAAAAAAAATATTTTTAATATTTTCGGCTTCCAGTATGGGTCGCGGGTGCGATTTGTCTCCTAGAAAAAAATCCGAAGTCAAAACTTTACTCCAGCACACAAATCATTCACAAAGGAAGATAGCAACACTTGCTGGAGTTTCCAAGTCGGCAGTAAATAAAATTAAAAAAAAATTGGAACAAAATCAACCACTTTCGCCAAAACGTAAAGGTCATAGTGGAAGAAAAAGAATTACAACTCCGCGATCTGACAGGGTGATTCGGGATATTTGTCTGGGAAACAGAAAAAAAAGTGCTGGTCTTTTAACCCAGTTAGTTCAAGAGTCAGGAATACAAGTTTCCAAGAGAACGGTGCAGCGGAGATTGGCAGAAGAAGGATTGTTAGGTCATCGCCCCGTCAAAAAACCTCGCTTAACTGAAGCGATGAAAAAAAATCGTCTTGTCTGGGCTAAGGAACACCGACAAAAGACTATTGAGGACTGGAACAAGGTTGGTTTTGACTTTTACTGTAATTTCTCGATATGTAAAATAATATTTTTTGTCCAAAAAAATAAAAATCTTTCCTTACTTAGGTGTGTTTCTCTGACGAGTCGACGTTTGAGATTTTGGCTGACAAAAGCAGTTTTGTCAGGCGACGCCCAGGAGAAAAATACCATCCTGACTGTATCGTGGAGAAAGTGAAACACCCCGTCAAAATAATGGTGTGGTCTGTAATAAGTGCCAAAGGGGTTGGACGCCTCTATATTGTCCAGGGTACCATGAGACAAGACCAGTACAGACAAGTTTTACATACTCGCCTGTTGCCACAACTGGAAGAATGGTTCCCTAATGGAGAAGAATTCATGTTTATGCATGATTCAGCTCCATGTCATAAAGCTAGAAGCATTACCAAGTTTCTAGCAGACAATAATATCCCAGTTTTAGCCTGGCCTGGCAATTCTCCAGACATGAACCCCATTGAGAACTTGTGGGAGATTACCAAGGCGGAAATTGCCAAAGAAATTATTACTACCAAGGTAAAATTGATAAAAAAGTTAATAAATGTCTGGCACCACAATCCAAAAATAAAAGAAAGTGCCAAACAATGCATTGCAAGCATGCCTAAACGTATACAGGCACTCATTGACGCAAAAGGAAATGTCACCAAATACTAATAACTAAGAAATAACACAGGTTTTTTATTTATTTTGAATTTATTTTTATTTCTTTATTTTTTAATCAATTTGTGAATAGTTGTGAATTAATATTAAAATATATTTTTAAATTAAAACCTTATCACTCTATTTATTCCCAATTAAAACGGTACGAAAACGTAATTTTGTGACTGTCCCTAATAATTTGGCAACCCACTGTATTTACCTGTAGTTCCGGCAAGGCAGCATAAGGTCATTGACGAGTCTCTGTAGGGCGAGGCAGGGGGCTGCGGGAGCGCGGAGGGTACCCCTGCACCACGCACACCGTGACATCCTCCGGGAACATCTCGCACACCACACACCCCCACACCATGGACACACACATGGGCATTTCTTTAATATTTATTTAGATAGTATGTAGTGCATAAAAACTCTTTGGTTTTCTAATACTTCTAATTTATAGATGTCAAATTATTAAAAAACTTACATATTAAAAAGTGTGTAATGTCAAAATAAATTAATTATAAAAAATACATATTTTCAAGAGGATTGGATAAAAAATAACTTTAAATGTCGTTTCTTTATTTTCAGGTAGGAATTTTATGAAGTGTAATTTAAGTTTAAGTAGTAATATAATTTGTTTTTGTTACTAACAAATAAATCTTTATTTTCAGAGCAACACATTGAGTTTACATTGTCAATCCTTTTTGTTGAGCCATTAACTTATATATATCTTCAAGCCTTAAACCCTTGCGGGGTTTCAGTAAGTCACATATTTATTAAATAAATAATATAATTACAAGAGTAATTATATTGTCATTAAATTATAACGATAAACTTTTTACTCTAGTCTTCTCAACTCGAATATCACCATCATCACAAATTAATAGCCCCACCGCTGGGACTCAGGTTTTCTCTTAAGATGTAATCTTATAGAGAGAATGGGCTTTGACCCACCACGCGGGCTTTGCGTGGGATGGTGGCTATTAACAGATTGCAGAGGCAGCCGAGACCAACGACTTAACGTGCCCATCCTAAGATCGGCTATTGCGACAGTTATCGCAGACCGAGCGTCTTACTGATTTGTTAGGTGACCAACGCTATTGGCAGATGAAATACCAACTATAATGTATTTTATTTAGCTATATGACCATTGCAATGAGGAAGTATTTTAAAAAGCTAAGAAAACACTACAAAGCACCTTGATTTTTGCAGGAAACTAATGGACCAAAGATAGTCATTGCCGTTCCTTTTAACTACATATTAAAAAAAAAACTGAAATTTGCAAAGTTCGGAACGTAGACATTAATACAAATATGAAAAAGTACAAATGAATATGACTTGTTTGTTGAGTTTTAAAAATTGATTTACTTTTATACTATACACGAAAGCAAACCGAAAGGGCTGTCATGGAGAAATCAAGAAATAACCGTAGCGATTTCTGGAACTAATGTTTTTTTTTTAAATACTTTCTCATTGAAGTATAAAGGTTACACTTATATTTTTATATAACTGCGATTATAGAAACGATGGGAATGTCATGTCTTTTAAAAATAAAAAGCCAAAAATTAAGTCTAGATAATAAAAACAAATAAAAATAATTGCAGGCAAATTGCCATATTGATATTGCATTAGCTGCTTTATTAAATCTAGATAATTGGTTTAGTAATCCTCCAACTATAAATGAAGTTCTCCATTAACAAAGATGCGAGTTGTATTTCGTTCGGTATTCCACATAATACCCGTATCTTTATTTCAATATATCTAGTTCAGTATAGCTAATTTATCGTGACGCTCCACCCACGTACACTCCCGAAAGAAACAAAATAGCACTATGTGACGCCATAAACCTGCCCTTGATACTTCGAGACAAAATAACAAATTGAACATGATATAATTCTGCGGAGGTGAGGAGTCTAATCCTGAGTCTGATAAGAATAAAGAAAATCTGTTGTTATCTTAGAAAAATATTATAAAGGAATTAATTTCAAGATATGAATATTTGTGTATGTAAAAATAAAGTTAATTTATATATTTGCGTTGAAGTTGTTATTTTACATTTACGTTCACATCTTATATATTCTATACTAGCTTTCCGCCGACGGCTTTGCCCGCGTTGTCTCAAGAGAATTGTTTAGCGGGATAGAATTATCTGTAAACCAAATTCCATCACAATCCATTTAGTAGTTTTTGCGTGAAGAGGTAACAGACATCCAAACTTGTGCCTTTATAAAATATGGTTAGATTATTTACTCCTATGTAACCAGCTTAGTTAATTTACTATATAACACGGATATCATGACAAATAGAATAGTACTTTTCTATTTCCTATACAAACTCCTAACTCTACTCCCATTTTCGTTCATTTATTTACTGTTTTTAGGGTTCCGTACCTCGAAAGTAAAAAAGAAACCCTTATAGGACCACTTTGTTTAAAATCGGTCTAGTAGCTTCGGAGGCTACTCTTTTCCTCTTTATAATATTAGCAAAGACAAAGAATATGTTTCATATTAATGAACTCCTTTTCGTAATTAAGTAGTAAATAACAAGATATTGGGCTAGTAAAAGAAATGTATAAATTGTAGTCTTTGTCACTTATGTAATATAAGAAATGATGTTATAAGTGATCATGTCTCTGTACAGTATCCAAACTGTCTTTACATAAAAACCTTATTTTAATTTGCAGTAGGACAAAAAAAAAACATTATCTCATTCATAGATGTGGGTATCATATATCAATCATAATAATTTCTGCAGATTGCTGATGTTTTATTCATATATATAATGTTCTTTAAACAATTTGTTATCATAACGTGCCTTCCGAAGCAAAGAGTAGCTCGAGATAATTATTTTTTGGTCACCCATCCCGTTACGAAAGATGAAAGTTACGAAACAACAAAGACCGCGTTGACGAGTTGCTTTAAACAAATATTCTAGAGTCAAACTGTTTTTAAATCGAATGTTAAGTACCTATTAGGTCTTTGATTGCCAAATTAATTAATACAAAGCTTTGTTTGAAGGCTGGTACATCGATACATTATCATGTCTTTGAAGAGATATATTATGTGGTTAATAGTTTAATACTGTTCATGACAGACAGCATCGATTATCCTATTTACATATATATAAGATACGAAAGCTTTTGTGTTATACCTGAAACGTTAATGACAAGTTTGATAATATTTAAGTTATTAAAGTACACACAGTTGCCCGGCACGTTACCAAAAAAAGTCTAACTTCAGTTGATTTTATTCTCTACAGTTAAAACATTAAAGTTAAAAATCAAGTAGATAAATTTTACATATTTGTTTTGCCTGGCGTGATGTTGACTGTACATTCGGATCGATCAGTGGGAAAATGTTTTGATCGATAATAATGCAATATTGCGCTACTAAACCGTGTGGAACGTTCACGTAACATGATGCTTGTATGATTAAGGCCACCGCTGACTGTGTGAAGGATTGCCAATACATTGGAATCGAAAGGCAGGATGAAAAATCAACACTAGGCATAGAAAAAATACAAGTGATATCTTATTAGATTTTGAAATGAAATGATAATGTCTTTATCTGAGTAAGCTTATTTCAAGCACTTTTGAATACTCCAAAAAAATTTATTCTCCTACCACTTGTTCAAAGTCTTTTAGCTGTCAAGAAGAACAAGCGAAAGAAACTTACCAGCTCTTTATCATAAGTAATTACATTTACATAAATCATGTCATTAACAAAATAGTACGTATTATAACAATAATATATACAACTTTTAAAGTATGTAGGACATAGATTGGTACATATAATTAGTCGTTATAGAACAAAGCGAAGGCTATCAATTCCATGCAATGCGGTCCTTAAAATAATCATCAACTTTATAATAGCCTTTTCTTATAAGTATGTTCTTTACACGAATTTTAAATTTATCTATGAGTAGGTGAATTACAGTTTGTGGAACTTTATTGAACATAGCAATGCATTTATCCAGAAATGATCCTCTGGTTTTTTGAAGCCTGAAGCTTGGAGCGGCAAGTTTATTTTACACCGAGTGTCCTATATCTTATAGAAGTTAGAGCAGTGATTCAGGTATTCAGTCTGCGATCTAAGAGTCAAGCACCTTTCACAGGGATGGGTGACCGAAGATTATTAGCTCGAGCTTCTTTGTGCTTCGGGAGGCACGTTTGAGTTGGCTGTATCTGTAGTCAATAATTCCGCACTGGACCTGCGTGTTAGGTTATGGTCTATACGATTCGATTCAGGCCTGTGTCCTCTTAGTGGGGACATTAATAGACTAACTGAACTAATTAATAGACTGACTAACGGAATAACTATTATGGGGAATTAATACTTGATAGACATTGTATCTGACTGTTTAATGACACTTAGGGGCCGTCACGCAAAATTCATGAATTTACACCCCTCCCCCCTCCTGTCACATATTTGTCTATACAAATTCTACTAAATATTGTTTTAATGTCACAGTTCGTCCCCCCCCCTCCTAACGTGTGACATAATTTATGGATGGCCCCTTAACACTTTTGCACCTGATTCTTGAAACTTGCTTGTGCGGCAGCACCCACGGTTTGCAAGACAAGCGTGTGGCGGGCCTATGTGTATCAATGAAGGAAATGAATATCGAAGGCCAGTAATGCGATGAGCTTGTGTTATGTATGAGCTAAGTGCTCGTCAATATGTGGGAAGTGGCAAGTGCTTATCGTCAGTGACGTCACTATATTAAACACGAAAGTTTCGCGGCTGTTGCGAGAATAGAAAAATATAAAAACTAAGAACTCTAGAGGGGCTCAATCTTGAAAAATTTCGTTTTTAAAAATAGCTTTTCGTCCGTGGCTTCGCTACCGTGGAATTCGGTTATTATTCCTTTAAGACTATTGTTTGCAATAAAGCTCTGAATACTGTAAATCACATATCCTTTTCCAAGGTTCAACTCTGTGTAGCTTCACTAAAATTGGTTCAGTACTTTTGACGTAACACACAGAGAGAAAGAGAGATAGTGAGAATTACTTTCGCACATATAATTATATTAGTATGGATTAAGAGTTATATAAAATCTAACCTGCAACGGTTCTAAACATATGCTGCATTCAGAGAAGCGTGATAGCACCTCGTCACAGTTGGGACACGTACACTGCGCCGCGTGGGACTCGCCCGACTGCAATAATGATGGAGTGTCGACTAGAGACAGGGATTTATCTGGAAACAAACGGATATCATTATTTAATTTTTTTTTGTATTTTAAAAAGTGATTTGTTATATCAAAAAATGCAAGTTCGAAAAGTCAACAAAAAAAAAGATAAGTCAACTGTAGTTATATGCCCTAAAACTAATAGGTATGTTGTATGTTGTTTTAAAGAAATAAATATTCTGACTGTTGCCTCTCAATACATCTATGAGAATATTATGTACACAAGAAAACATTACGATTTCTTCACAAAAAAGTAGTGTTCATAATCTTAACACAAGAAATAAAAATAAACTTGCCGTTCCAAGCTTCAGACTTCAAAAAAACCAGAGGATCATTTCTGGGTAAATGTATTGCTATGTTCAATAAAGTTCCACAAAATGTAATTGACCTACCCATAAATAAATTTCAAATTCATGTAAAGAATATAAAGGCTATTATAAAGTTGATGATTATTTTAAGGACCGCAATGCATGGAATTAATAGCCTTCGCTCTGTTCTATAACGATTAATTATAGGTATGTACCAATCTATGTCCTAGAGACTTTGAAACTTGTATTTATTATTGTTCAATATATGTATTATTTTGGTAATGGCATGATTTATGTAAATGTCATTACTTATGATAAAAAGCTGGTAAGTTTCTTTAGCTTGTTCTTCTTGTCAGCTAAAAGACGTCCTGAACAAGTGGTAGTGGAAAAAATATTTTTGGACGATTCAAAAGTGCTTGTAACAAGCTTACTTCAATAAAACATTTTCATTTCATTTTTATATGATATCAGTTCTTCATTTTATCATCATCAGTCTAGAATGGGTCATGCATGACCCATCACGCGGGTTCAGTGCGGTATTAACGACAATACATACAATTTGGACCAACGTCTTAACATACGATACTTTCGGTAGTACGGGGGATCTCAAGATAATAAGTTTCACCATAAATGTCACCCATCCTGTGACCGACCGTTAAAGTTACTCATGCTAACCAATGCGTTCTTCAAGGATTAAACTATAAATGAATGAAATAAAAGATAAATCGTTTTTATTTCGTATATTACATTTGTCTATCATTTAATCATTAACAGTATTATTAATAAACAAGTTTTAGCGTTGGAGTAAATTTACGCTGAGACTGCACTTAGTATTAATCAAAATTCATAGTATTAAACAGAGACTTAACAAAGGTTAACCTAGTGCGAGGTTCTACGGTAGTAATATTTACTCCTAGAAGGTAGTATGTTTGCTAATTCTCTTTACAATATGGATTTGAACTTATACTAAAATTGCGAATTTGGCGTAAATTTATTCTGACACTAAACCTTGTTCTTTAATCACGTGTTGTTTTTTCAGCATTTTTAAACCATTATAGGGGCCCCTTGGTCATACATGGTGAGGTTTAAGTCTACCCCCCTCCCCCCTCCACTAAAATCACGTGTATTTTTTAGTACCTACAAAAAAGCTTCGTTTTGACGGCGCCTTTCGGTTAAGTAATCGCGCAGTTGGGGAAAAAATAAATACACGTGATATATTACTACACCCCCCTCGCCCCTTGTGATATTTCGTGATTTTTTTACGAACCTCCGCCCCCCCCCCCCCTTCCGAGCCTCATGTGATTAATGGACGGCCCCTTATTAATAGAACTGTAGGTATAAGAATTTAGGTTTATAGTTCAGATCGTTTTATTCCTATCAATGAGGTTAATTATCTATCCATATTAGGCACAACTTGAGATTTGTATAACGTTGCTAAAATACTAATAAGCAACGAATTAATCGATAATCTAATCGATGCTATTTATAAACAAAATGTTAGATGGTATAATATAATTACAATTTCTTTATCGTAAATGATAACATCGCTCGAATGCGCTTTTAAATACCATTTAAAGCATAAACAAGATAAGGCAATGATTGTGTTATTGCTAAATGATTAGGCAATGAAAATACGACACTGATTATTGCTATCAATAATGACACTTAGATTCGCGATTATTCGGATGTAATTGACGGTCTTATCATTTAAAGTCTGACGTAGGAACTTTAAATAATATATTATTAGAAGCAGTTTCAATCATATTACTATTTATATCGGGTTGGCACAAAAGTAATGAGACACTTGGTTTAAGTTTTTACTTTTTTATTATTATTACAATAAAAAAAGTTTAGTCAATGATGTAATTACCATTAGTATCTAAGACTTCTTGCCAACGATCCGGCAAAGTTTGGATGCCTTTTGCCCAGAACTCTGATGGCTGTGCCTCGAAAAAGTTGTTCAACTCCGCCTCTATTTTTATTATTACTAGTTCCCATGACGTCAAATACATCAGATGTAGGTAAATGTTTATGGTACCAAAAATCAATGAAAAAGAAATGATGCGTGATATAAAAATAACATAAAAATATGTTAAATGAAACAACTTTTAAATGGTGAAATGTTATATCATTTATGGATAGTGCGCGTGAAAATATAAGAAATCAATAAATATCAGTTTGAAAACTATAATACCAAGAGTATTTGTGTGCTTAATTATTAACAGTGAAGGTTTAACGACAGAGTACATTACGCTAAAATTGTAATTTTAGTATTTGACCGAATTCATATTATATTATACAGAGAATAAGCAAACCTACTACCTACTAGGAGTAAATATTACTACCGTAGAACCTCGTACTAGGTTAATCTTTGCTAAGTCTCTGTTTAATAATATGAATTTTGACTAATACTAAGTGCAGTTTCACCGTAATTTTTCTCCGACGCTAAACCTAGTTTATTAATAACACTGTTAGCGTTTAACGTCACTCTTTTAAGATTAATAATCAAATACACATAAACGTTAAACCGACCTACAAAACCACTGTTCTAGATTATCAAATAGTATATAATAATACTATTACTCGTATGAACATCTCCGAGTGCATCGGTAATGTAATATCATATAACCGTTGAGCAAGATATAGTTAAAACTATGTCAGACAACGAAAGTGAAAGGACTAAAGCTACTAGCCAGTGCTGTTGGATATTGTCGATACTTTTAATATTGTTACAGTACATATTGATATTATAGAAAAGCCGACTATACTATTAATAGTGCCGAAATTATTGGTTTTTAGCGATAGAGCTACTTATTTTTCAATATTCGATAGTTTCGTTTTTAATATTCACCAATCAATATCTTGAGTCGACTTTCGATAGTGTAAAGCAAGAGCGATGGTTTTGATAAAACTGTCGATTTTTAAGACCCCAATAGTACCTTTTACGAATTTATCGATAGCATATTACTCCCAACAACGTTACTACTAACGTCTACATTGAAACTGGTCTTACATAAATACTATATTCCGTGTAGATTTATAAACTTCATATTGTTCTTAAATATAATGATGACTGTTAGTGCAATAAACTGACTTCTTAAACTTAATAAAATTGGTCCCAAAGTATAAATATCGATACTAATTTTAAAAAGGGGAAAGATTTGGTAATTTTTTTTCTTTGAATCGAATAGGTTAAGAATTTTCTGCACCGATTTCAAAACTTCTTTCATCTACGTAAAGTTACCGATATCATACGCAGTCTTAAAGGTTTTATTTTACGCTAGCGAAGTAAAACAGCTTTTGTATTAATATACATGAGAGAGTACGATGAATCCAATTATATTCTAACTTAAATAGAAAATATATAAAATATAACACATTCTCAAAATTGCGTATCAGCTGGTCAGTTTCACACTACTAAATTCAACTGTCAAGGTTGACCGACCGTTACGTCATTCCGGTTTGTACTGTCAGGTCAGCAGGTTTAACAACTCAGCTCCAACAGCACCCGCTGTACGTGCCCTCGTTTCTATAACTGCTTAAATTTTTAGTACAGTTATTCACAATAATAAAGCTACACAGAAAAATGGAAACTGTAACGAATTGTAAGAAAACGCTCTTGACATTGTGTTGCAAGATAACGTGCCTCCGATCGTACACAGTTAGATCATTTCCTCAATATCTCGAAGTTAATTTTTTGATCATATATTTTTTTAATTCAGGAAAAATAACTGCACCTTTTTACAGTGCTTCTATCATAGTAATTTCGACAGGAATCTATTTATTCGATTGTGAGTTTTTACATTGGTGTTGCTTACAGGTTATTGTGCCCAATCAATAACTTATTGCTACACATCTCGTTGTAAAGATACTTCAAAGCAGTTACTATTTGTGATGTAACATTACATTATATAACGCGCACACTTAAATATATATACACATATGTATATTCTTATAAAATTAGTGTCAAGGCGAGTTTGAAACGTAATATTACCAGACTGTCAGCAAATTAAGACCTTGCAAAAATTCAATGTCGAAGAGGCGTTTAATGTAGTGATTTAAGTAGCGATGATGTACAAAACAACCTCATGAATGCTAAATAACTACAATAGAGTTTTGTCTTGATTTGTAACAGACATATTATTATTATTGTTGACGACGCAAACTATTTTTTTTTCATTTTTTAAATTGATATATGGGTTATTAATAAAGGAGCCAATATTATGCCTTGCGGAACTCGTACAATCTACATAAAATGTATGTTATTTTAATGGTGTTTCGAGGCACGCTTTGTTCTCAAATACTCTGCTATTGAATATTTATTAAATGTTTTCTAAAATTACAAAATCATTTTTGTTTTTAATGAGATCACAGTTACGATTCTCAAAAGTAACAAAAGGTTGATTCATTATAAAAACTTATCATAAATCCTTTGTGAGGTTGACAACTACAAGAATTTCCCCGTTATGTAGGCTAACATAATGTGTGATTCACAAACCCAGTTCCCGGTCATTAGCTGATTGTAATTTTCCAGGGCTCTTTTTAAATTCTCCGTATCTCATTTTCTATTTATTATGGATACGTATTTATTTGTTTTAGGGTCGTAGTGATTTTGCCTTTAGACTGTATTTGGATAACAATGAAATGTAATCTTATTAGTATGGAATAGCTGATGACTGTATAATGACTATAAGACTATATTAAGATGTATACTCATCATATGTTAGAGTCATTGTTGAAATTAGTAGGTAAATTCTTATTAAATATAGTCATAACATACGTCACATAATATTTAGAAATGTGACGTAGGAATTACATTACGTTTACCTTCTATTATAACATATGAACGACTTTCAATTTGAAACAAAAAGTTTGGCTAATAACACGATACTGTAACATTGTTGGTTATAGCAACGTAGATATTGATGAGGCATGACATAAACAGTCACGCCATTCACCAATTTAATGTTCTTTATTGTAATAGGAGTATGTTAAATATTTGTTATATACCTACACAAACTTTGTATTTGCCAAATGCTCCAAAAATTTGCTCAGTAAACATATCAGCAGTTTTTATTATTCAATGTTTGCTTCATTTTGGTGTGTTGCAATTTTGAATTACACTGTAGTTACAAACAAGTGCATTGAAGATTTGAAATTAGTTTCTAGACAAATAGTAACCACTAATTAGATTTATAATTTGCAAGATTTTAGTATAGAAACACAAAAGCAGTTTATGAATATTGACAAACACCTAAGCAATAACCTCTAAATGATATTTTGCATGGCTGGGTGGCGCGATCAGCCGAGTTGTGACGTAGTGGCGCAATGTTGTTATAACTTTTCCTTTTACCTTCAAAGTATCGGCTTATTCATATTGTGCTATTGCATTAACTTTGAGCTTTGTTGCGGGCATAATTGACGCACGTATACGTTGAAGTTAATCTTGGATTTAAGATTTTGTAGAGTGATCAGCATAAAGCTTCATTATGAATGATTTTTTGTTTATGCATGTGTACAAAACTATACATACAAACTGATCACAAGCCTTGACACTTAAAAAGCAATAGTTAACAATAGGAATCCTATCTGCCATGCCATTTTTTACAAATTTTATCTTCTTTCCTATTTATGTTGGAACAATAGCCATTGTTTTACGGATTTCAATGTAATATACAGAAGACATTTCTAGCTTTCATGTTAGTATCAAAAGAAATTCAAAATTTGTTCATCGTATTAAAAATTTAAGTTTATCATCTATTGTTATTTTTACATATTTACTTAATCAATGTAAAAATGCACTATGGCCCTGACACTCTGAGATGGGACTCAAACCCAGGACCTTTCGCGATTCGGGCAGCTGCTGTAACCACTACCACCCAAGACCAAACAGGACTGAAGAATTTTTCAAGCACTTAGAATATTAAATAAATCACCTTCGATTTCTACATTTTCACTGCTGGACGAATCTGAAGAGTCATCTTCTATCCTCTTCTCTGATACTATCGTTAGGCTGTTCTCTCCGCATTCATTTGCATGGGTTCTCTTATCTGTCACCGAATGGAACTGTGAACAATCATAACAGCTTATATAATAAATCTTTATTGCATACAGACATACACACAATGATATATTATATGCGATTTCTAACACAATTTCAATTTGGCGAATTTTTAAATAGTCATATATTTGCAGAGATCCTAAAAGTATGGTAGCCTTCTGTGGGATACTTGCCTTTATTTTTTTTACCGGGAAAATTATCTATTCATTAAGTAAGATTCCAGGATAAGATAAAATATGGTTTTAGATCTATCTATTCCCTATATTTTAATGAAATAATCGTTACTAAGTATATAGTCAGTAAAATGAAAATTTCTTCTTCTAATTTTATTTCTGGTTTATGCAATACGAAAATAAGCAACTAAAAATTAGCTAGGTAAGTTGATGATAATAGTGTATTTATATTTTAATGAAGAAGATCATATCAAATACCGAGTCTTAGTTTTACCATATAAAGAAAATGAAAATCTTTTTATCAGCTCTCACTTCAAGGTAATCTTATTGAAGATAAATATACGTAAGAAAATTCTAGATGTATAGTTTACCCGAGTGAACATGAATTTTATACTTTTACTAGATATTTTTACAAAGTTGAAAATGATCATTCATGACAAAAACATCATTCATTACATTAAATATGAAATATCTAGATAATCGGTTCCATAGATTCTCACTGCACGCGGGATGGTTATGATGTAATCAGTCCAATGCTGTAGATACGATTTCGATTTGCCGTGCTATTTTATTATAAAAACAACCTCGAACTCATCATCGAGAGCAGCGCTGTTATAGCATAGACGTTAAATAAATAAAACCTACTTCAATAGCTACTAAAGGTTTAATTTCATTGAAGCTCTATACTATCACAGACAGCGTTGTTTCGCATATAGGAACTTAATTTTTTTTTAATTTATTGTAAGAAAACCAACGGCTTTTACAAAATCAGAATAGTTAAGACTTAATATTAACAAAGAGTAAAGCAAATTACAGGTTTTCCTGAATTAAACCAATTGTATGTTCTTAAGAGCTGGACTGGGATTGTTATTTATAATTTAAAATCAACACAACCTTGACACTCGTACACACACACACTCATCATACATATCCTTACACATCTAAGTTCGTGAGCTCCTCGAACAGTTTCTTTTATACATGGTAGAGTAACAAAATAAACTCTTACACCATCACTGGGCTGCACCGCAGCGCCGTAATAACAACCAAAATAATTATGAAACCTGTAAACATTAGCAAAATGCTCCCTACCCACTCCACCACTTGGACACATATTTATATATCCCAATAGCAAAATAGGCAAAGAACATTTACACTGCATATATATACATATTAATGTTATTGAGGTTCTATTTTAAAATATAATATACCCAGTTTGTATTTAAAATAAGCTTCATTTAATATTATAACTTCACCAGGCTCTTTTAAAATTGCAACGCATATACGATCGTAAATTTGAATGCACGGTATAGCATTTGCACAATATGAAATGTTCTCTCTTTCTCAGTTGAGCAAGTCTTAGGCGTAATGGATTTATTCATTCTATTGCGTTGTCAATTAAACATTGCATTTCGCAAGTCTATTTTTATTATTTTTCTTAATAATAAGCTTTTTCGAAATTCTAGTTAATTATTACTAATTCAAGTATAGTTACAGGAATACCTTTGAAATTCTTCTATTATGTGGTGATTGCAATGACAGCTAAGAGTTTCAAATGACATTTCTCTAAATTCAGTGTCTGAATTTCATCTCACACAAAGTAGAGTTGCAGTACATAGTCTGGATCGTAAAACGTACCGAGGAGACTCGCTTTTGTTTTAGGAGGTAGTGAAAAAAAACTACGTGTGAAAGGCACAACAGGACTCGACAGACCGGTTTATTTAACGAGGAGTGTCGGGTTCGAGTCTGCCGATGGACCGGCTTGTTCCAATGAAAAAGCTTTTTAAATAAAGTTCAGTTAATTAGGGTAACACACTAGGTCCGTTTTTATATTATGAAGTAAGTAAATCCGTATTTCCATGAGAATAAATTTATGAGTCATTCATTTGCGGATGTGGTAATAACCGATGTGATATATAAAAAAGGTACCTACTTCATTATTAAATTTCTTATATCATAAAAATCCAGGACAAGACTGAATTATTATTTTCAGCAAACTAATAATATGAGTAGTAAACTTATACTTAGTTTCTCAAGATAATTTTTTATAAAGTTAATTAATTAGGTGTTAGTTTAATGAAGAAAGATATGTCAATTAGTTCCGAAATATCAATTAATTTTATTTATATTTATAATGACGAAAACGATTTTACGGAAAATAAGATCAGGTAATTTGCAAAAAACGGGTCTTTTTCAAATATATATATGACGTCTCTCAGATTAATTTAATGAATAATAATTAGTTAATTGTTAAGAAGTAATTAATTATAAAACTCGATATTACATGTCCGCAGGTCAGTGATCTCGTCACGTTTTCCATATGTTACCTTACCCCGTTTTTAATTATGCAATCTATTTCGCATGAACTAGAAGTCATAATTGAATAACACTCGCAAATCTTGCTCAAGTAGGTATTGTAATTTACATTAACCGGTTTGGGAATAAGGTCAAAAGTTGCGTTTGCGACTTTATTAATAATTGCTGATGGTATACACTCGATCGATCGAGAGGAGCTTGATGGCGCAGTGGCTAGTGCGCTCGGCCTGCGATACGATTGTTAAGCAACATTCGCAATGGCCGGTAGTAGGATGGGTGACCAAAAATTTATTATATTGAACTTTCCCCTTACTTCCTAAGGCACATAAAGCCGTTGGTCCCGGCTATATCTGAAGTAGTTAACAGCCACCAATACGCACTGGGCCTGCGTGATGGGTCATCGCCCATTTTCCCCATTCGATTCGATTCATATGGAACGCTTAAGCCCAGTGGGGACTTTAATAAGCTGATGATAACGGTGATACACTCGTTTTCAATATAAATCACGCAGTGATGTTGATATATCTTGGAGATAGCATTGCCTAACTGCTACACTGATCACTATTTTGAGGATTAGATATATAATTTTGTCTCTAAGATCAAAGTAACATATCATATTATTCTTTACTGACGCTATAAATATAAAATAAATATTAGACAACATCATACTCATTGCTCAGATTCCAAGATGATTAGCTACTCATATATCATCATAGTCCCCGTATATAAGTAGTATTGAATATACCGAAGGTGCCACAATATCCAAACGTGAGATAATATATAAAACCTTGAAACGGGCGTGCGAACCAATCGGCTATAGAGGTAGTAAAATCAGTAGGTATCCATCTAACTTTTATATTATACTCAATTATGACGTCATAAGCTAGGGAACCGGTAGCGTAATGAATGACAAGGATAGCATAAACAGTTTGTAATGGAACTTCATAACAATTTGTAATTCGCGATTTTATTCCATAATCTTATACGGAACGACTGAATTAGAGTTGATATCTATGATTTAAGATTGTTTAGGATTTTTTCGAGTTAAATTTATTATAATTTATACTCCAAACGATAATAGATACATTTTCGAACACCTTCTTCTTATTTATAACTTATTTAATTAAAATTTTTGTTATTTAATTTGAAAACTATATTGTGTGAAATTGTTACGCGAGCTAATGACTCATGAAATTAATGCAACTCCCAGTGTTCTAACTCATTCATGAGTTACCTTTATCCCATTTAGTTTATTGAAAATTTGTAGCTTGTTTTATGTCTACTAAATTAATGTTACGCGAATTAATATAAGTTCGATAAGGAAAGTATGAGTATATTCCAGTTTGCCACGAAAAATATCGAATGGGTATTTTATGAATTACATATTTATGATTCACATAAATTATTGTATCCTTGTTTGATTCAATTCAATAAAGTCAGTAAATATATGTAAATATGTTAAGTAAAAACAAAAATATGACCAAGTAGTTTTTCATAGCAACTTAACAAACTGTGTGTCCTATTAAGTATTAGCGATATGAGCAACAAAATAGTTTTTGCTAAACTTAATTTATTGAGACCTTGTAGCCTGTCACATTGTGCCAGTAAACAAAACGCTTATTGCGCATGCAAAATGCCGTTACAAAATCCTTTTAAAGTTATGCTTTTGATGCCGTTTAAGTTTTAAAAAGCGAATGTATTTGTGAAACACATTCGCAGTAACACTTCTGGTTTAAATCATAACATTCTCAGCGATGTGATTTTTATTCAAATGAAATAATGTCTTGTTTACAAAAATAACAGTTTTCATTCTGTTCTGTAAACTTCAGGTTTTTTATGTAGCGTAGTACACAGTACGTCAATCAAAATACCTTTGATAATTCTTTTCGATACATGTCGTCGTTTCTCTAAATTTTTACACATTCCTTTGATTTACAATCTCAGAAGGTATAACAGATACATTTACAAACACCTTGTTCTTATTTATAGGTAATTTATTAATAAATTTTTTTGTTATAGTTAATTTGAAAATTATATTGTATGAAATTCTTACGCGAGCTAATTACTCATGAAATTAATGTAACTCCCAGTGTTCTAACTCTTTCATGAGTCACCCTTGTTCTATTTAGTTTATTGAAAATATATATGATTTACAATCTCAGAAGGTTATGTAAGTAATTTTAAATTTTGATCGTATGTGATAGATAACTCATTGCACTCAAAATCACTTTCACAAGCAGAGATTATTAAAAAAAGAGCTGAGTTATTTGTCTGTTTGGTTCTTCATGAGAGAACATAATAGACAATATTAACACAAAAATAAAATATATAATTACCTTAAAGCACATGATAATTATACAATTTTTGAATTCCTACTGTCTGCCAAAGATAATATTTTAAATTTATATATAACTTTGTAGTTATAAGTGAAGCTGTTATTACCAGTTCCGATCGTGACTTTAACCGCTTTAGCGTTTGTTAATAGTAAATTGCTAAAAGTATCACTTAGTTCTATATAG